CTGAAACAGCTGATATATGTTTAATTTCTATAAGCTCATACAGTAAAACCATGCTAATTTATACTTTATAAAGTCCACTTAAATCTTTTGGTGTGTTAACTTTTTCTTCTTCCCCAGAGTAAAACTGGATTAAAACTGGATACATAATTGAGAGAAAACAAAAGGCTACCTCATTCAGTAAGATGTCTTCTCACTTGAGATAAGCTCTCTACCCAACTTCCATTCAAGTCCTAAAACACGTCTAGATTTGCTCTTCCAGCCCTTCATATACATAATACCCTAAGATGCCATTTCTATCAACTGTTATACTTAGCTCAATTATAAGGCATTAAAAAAATTATTAGACAAGGATAAATAATGAGGCACATTTTGAGGCAAATAAGATAAATAAAGGAGTTCTGCCTGCTTTAATAAAAATGTAGCAATCAATTATCTAGCAATAAGAAATTTTAATTTTATTCATATTGTCAATAACTATAAATGCTAGATGTACTATCATCCCAAAGGATGAAGAATACAGAAAATAAGACCTGGGTTCAAGTCCAGATAAGTTTCTTATCTCTTATTTATAGTAAATAAAAGGTAAGTAACAATTCTGCCAGAATTATATAATTTATAAGATTCTTCTGAGACTGAATAAATTAATTTAAATGAAAACAATTTAAATGAAATACTATAAAGCACTAAATAAATGTTATCATATCAGCACATCACATGAAAGTTCGGAACACCGGGGGTAAAAAAAAAAAAAAAAAAACTCAAAAAAGGAAAAGATACCAACAAAGGATTAGCAATCAGAAGTATACTGGGGGGGCACCTGTGTGGCTCAGTCGTTAAGCATCTGCCTTCGGCTCAGGTCATGATCTCAGGGTCCTGGGATCGAGCCCCGCATCGGGCACCCTGCTCAGCGGGGAGTCTGCTTCTCCCTCTCTGCCTCTCTGCCCCCGCTCATGCTCACATCCTCTCTCTTTTTTTCTATCTCTCTTTCTCAAATAAATAAAATCTTTGAAAAAAAAAAAGTATATTGGACTACTCAAAAGTATCACTTAAAGCCAGAAGACAGTTGTGTCATGTTTTCAAAATCCTGACAGAAAATAATTTACAACTTAGAATATTATATCCAGGGCGCCTGGGTGGCTCAGTTGGTTAAGCCACTGCCTTCGGCTCAGGTCATGATCCTGGAGTCCCGGGATCGAGTCCCGCATCGGGCTCCCTGCTCGGCGGGGAGTCTGCTTCTCCCTCTGACCCTCCCCCCTCTCATGTGCTTTCTCTCTCTCATTCTCTCTCTCTCAAATAAATAAATAAAATCTTTAAAAAAAAAAAATACTTTGCCTCCTCATCTCCCATGATTGATGCAGAAGATTATGAAAAAAAAAAAAAAAGAATATTATATCCAGCAAAATCAGTAATTCTGGAGTAAAGGTAAAATAAACATACTTTCAGATGTAAAAGTCTCAGAAAATTTACTCCCATACACCCTGTTTCAGGAAGTTACTGAAGGCTGTCAGTAAAATGAGTAAAACAAGAAAGAACAATATACAGGAAATAAAGACTCCATAGCAAAAGAAATGCAAAGAGAATTTCCAGGATCATGGTAAACAGGCTCCAAGATGACAACTGTACAGTAAGCCTAGTGAGCCTCGGAAACTCCCTTGGCCACACTTACAATTTAGTTGCAAGGGGAACTAAGGAAGCTGCAAGACAGGAAATGATTATCTGATGTATTTTGCTGTATTGCAAGAAGCTTTAGAGAATTTTAGCAATAACACACAGAAAAGTAGGGAAACTAAATAATGTAACTATTTCAGGAATATAAAAAGCTTTATAAATCAAATGCAGGAATAAAATCATAGTAATCTTCATGGCTCCACTGCAAAACTAGTTACATAAGAATCACAAATAGGTAAAAAAAATTAACACTGATTTAATGAAAAACTGGAATATACATATGGAAGAGATGACAAGTAGATGTATTTTTTTCTGAATTTATGCAAGTACATGTATTTTTAGGAAGGAAGATGTAAGAGTTAAATCTTCACCTAATATAACAATAAATGGATATTTAAAATTGAACAAGAATCAAGAAATAGTAGCATTAATATGTTGTTTAGAAAACAAAGAATAAAATACCAAAAGAAGGAGCAAAAAGAGTTACCAGTGATTGGCACTGAAAATTAGACATCGAAGTAGGGAAAGGCTGGTAGGAATAAGATGAAGGACCTCTGTTTTTAATTTTAAGCCTACAGTACTTACACGAGCTTTAAGTATATTCATACAATTCTTTTTATTTTTTTTATTATGTTATGCTAATCACCATACATTACATCATTAGTTTTTGATTCATACAATTCTTTTTAAAAAATATATATATAAATATGTAAATAACAAAAACAAGTGGGAAATAAAAGAAAAGACCATTTCAAGACCCCGATTTCTACTTTCTCTATCTCTGAAATAATCCAAGATAAGATAGATAAATACAAGTTAGGGATGCTCTGGATGAGATTCCTGTACTAGGTAAGAGGTCCAGTTGATAACCTCAAAATGGTTTCATACAAATTTTGGATTATATAATCACTTCTTTATTCCATGTGCTTGTAAGTACTTAAATATATAATTTATAGAAGAATAATTTCATAATACCTTATTTCTTTTAAAAGCAATATATATTTTCTTTAGCCTAACTTGCAGAAATTTTACGCACACTAAGTGCCAATTACATGCAGTGTTTTGTACTCTGTACCCTCACAAGAGAAGGCAGGTATAATTGTGACCTCACATTTTATTAATAAGAAAACTGAGTGGCCAATATATTAAGTAAATTGTCTTAAGTCACCAAATAGTGCATAGTGGAGTCAGAAATCACAGCCCTAATTCTATGACTCTAAATCCCACTCTCATATCACTGTCCAGTTCCTTATTTCTCAACTCAATGAATAAATGTTTATTGTGTGGTGCCTGTGTGCTAACATACTATTCTAGATGCTGGAAATAAAGTGATAACGGAAACAAACAAGTCCCTGCCCTTTACATTAATTACATTATAATGAAAAAGACAAAAAAAACCCGATCATATAACTACATAATGTGATGCTAGATAATAAATACAAAGAAGGGTGAAGAATTGGAGAGAAGCAGTGGATCTTTTTACCTAGGGTAATGAGAGGGAGCCTCTCTAGGCAGTGACCTTTAAGCAGAGATATGTCTGAATAAGGAACCAAACCACATGAAAATATAGGGGAAAACATGTCAGGGAAAGAGAAGAACAAATGGAAAAGCCTCAGGGAGAATGAAATTTTGTTTGTTCAAGGATGAGTAAAAAGGCCACTGAGGCTAAAGTGAAATCAGCAAAGCAGAGTAGGATATGAAGTTAAAGACACGCAGACTTACAGAGTCTTAAAGACTGTTATTAAAAAAAAGCATTTTTTCTGCTTATGATGGAAGCCACCGAAGGATTTTAGATGGAGGAATGAATGATCTGATTGAGAACATTTAAATATCTCTCTGGTGATAATGCTGAGAATTGATTTAGCCAGGGTTAAAGGAAGATGATCAAATTAGAAAGGTACAGAAAAATCTGAGATCAGAAGCTGTCCAATATGCTAACCTCCAGCCCCATGCAGCAACTGAGCATTTGAAATGTGGCTCATCTGAAATTGAGATGTGTTTTAAACATAAAATACACACCTGATTTTGAAGACGTTTTGTAGGAAAGAAAAAAAGTAAAATAGCTCAACACTTTTTTACATTTATTACATGTTGAAATGATAATATTTTAGGTATATTAGGTTAAATAACATAATTAAAATTAATTTCACTGGTTTCTTTTTATTTTTTTAATGTGGGAACTATAAAATTTTAAATTCCAAAAGTAGCTCCCATTATATTTCTATTTGACAGTGCTGATCTAGATAGTGACTTGCCTAAAGTTTTAAAAGGAGTGAGGGGTGCCTGGGTGGCTCAGTTAAGCATCTGACTTGGGCTCAGGTCATGATCTCAGGGTCCTGGGATTGAGCCCTGCTTGAAGCCCCTAGTCGAGCCCTGCATTAAGCCCCACATGGAGCCTCATGTGGGGCTCTGTGCTCAGTGGGGAGTCTGCTTCTCGTCCTCTCCCTCTCCTTTTCCCCCATTGGTGTGTGTGTTCACGTGCTCTCTCTCTCTCTCAAATAAATAAAAAATCTTTGGAGAAGGTAAGAACTATGGGATTTGGGATACATTTTGAAAGCAGAGCCTATAAAACTTGTTTGAGGAGTAAATGTGAGGAGTAAGAAAAGGAGAGAAATCACTTTGATTCCAAAAATTTTGGCCTCAGAAACTGCATAACTTGGTGGTGAAAAATACTAAGATGGGGAAGTCTGGGCTGGAATCTTACATCTGAGCTGCCCTGCTGGCTATCCCAATGTCAAGTCATGGGCTAGGCACTCACAAATGAAGGGGCTTCATTCATAAGGAGTATAAATAAACGAACCCTTAGAGTTATGGAGTGGTCAGCCTGGAAAGCCTATTCAACAACCTCGTGCCAAGTATTCTGAGTAGTGGATCAGTAAACACTGTTGATTAGTTGCTGGACCACACTGCAGCCACATAAGTCTGGTTCCTGTGGAACGCTAGACTCTGCTAATAGGAACATCTGAGGAAATATTGTAACTGGGAGTTCAAATGTTTTAATCTCACAGCCCACACTTCCAGTGCTAGCTCCACCACACTGAGTGAAGGATACTTGACCTCTCCATCCCTTTACTCACTTTTAAAATGAAGGTAATACCTACCTCAAGCTGTGAGGATTAAATAAGATAATGTATGTAAGGTAATTAACATCTGACCTTTGCCCTGGCACATAGTATAAGTTTAATACATTACAGCTCTTAGTAAAATCATAGAGTAAGAAATGGAATAATTAAAGCTACAAAGGATTTTTGGAAAGTTTCATTCTAGTTCTACTTTCATAATAGAATATATAGTATCTAATTTCAAAAATCTCTAAAATTAAAATGTGTTACCTGTAAGTAGTGTTTGGAACATAGACATCCCTGGCAGGAAACTCCAAAATTTCTCTGGTAGGCCTAACCCTACTGTCTGGGTAAAGCTTCACTTGAAGCAGCTCTGGAGTTAGGCAATAATGGGGATTTTCAGGTGCAGGAGAAATGTCTATCTTCAGCTGAGCTGCATATAAAAACATATTATAAAAACAATGTAAACATAATAAAAACTTCATGTAAAAATGTTCCTGGAAGGATTTAGATCACATTTTTGCAAGAAGTTATAAATTACTGATACAGACATAATTACATGTAAAATAATAAATGCCTACCAAATGAATGAATGAGAAGAAAGAAAGAAGCAAAAGAAAGAAAGAAAAAACAGAAACAGAGGCATCTAGCATAAAACAAGCCAACATTCTGAAAGATGAGTGATTTAATTGGAACTTTTTTTACTCTGGAATGGTTTGCTCTGATTATATGAATCTGTTTCTGAATATTTACCATTCTATGTACATTTTCTTTCCTCTAAAAAATAATTTTAAGCCATGATATTATTCATCATTCACATTTCAGTACTCAAATTATCAAAAGTACTGAATCTTGCATACAAACTGTTAAGACCATGAGAAGAGAATAATAAAATGAAGAAGACTGACAAGCACTGGGCAAAGAAAGATAGATGGGTTAGATAAGTGAAAAAAGGAATGCATAATTACCAACAATAGGACATATTAGTGATGATAAGGGTTGTATTAATGTCTACTCAAAATTTTAAAATACCTGTAATAGGTCTTAGTCGCCGTAAAACAGAAGATGGCCTTCTCATATCAGCAAGAAATTTGTACAGATCTTCATCACTTAGGCGGTCTCCTTCCTGAGAAAAAAGTATTCAATAAAACAAATATAGTAGACTGAAAATAAATGTATATTGCCTGTTAATATTCATACCTTTTTCTGCCGGTTTAGTCAGAATGAAAAGTAAGATTAAATTAATATAATTATGATTAAAAATAAATATGCTGATTTATTTCCTTTTTTATGCTTTCAAATTTTATTAAGAGTTATGATACTATTATCTATAATTTTATATATTTACTTATAGCCCATTATTTATGTCTATAAGGTATTACAGGACACTAAAATACAGAAAATCTATACAATTTAGAGATAGATGAAAAGGAAGAAAAAAATAAAAATATAGACATAAAAGAAACATATATATGACAGTCTTAAACATTTTTTACACTTGAATGTTTGTCTTTTCAATTTCGTATCACCAAATTTCTCAAATGCAAAATATACAGCATTAACTAAATTTGAAAAAAAAAAAGAATAAGTAGCAACAAAAACTACACCTTTTTTTCTGATTGCAAGTACTTTTTTTTTTTTTTTTAAATTTTTTCAGTTGAGTATAGCTAACACACAATGTTACATTAGTTTCAGGTGTACGACATAGTGATTCAAGGAATTTATACATTATGCTATGCTCACCACAAGTGTAGCTATCATCTATCACCATACAACACCATTACAATATCACTGAACATATTCCTTATGCTGTGGCTTTTATTCCCATGACTTCATTCATTCCATAACTGGAAGCCTGTATCTCCCACTCCCCTTCATCCATTTTGCCCATCCCCCCACCCTTAACCCTTTCTGGTAACCATCAATTTGTTCTCTGTATTTACGGGTCTGATTCTGCTTTTTGTTTGTTTATACATTTGTTTACAGAAATTACTCATAAGGAAAAGAATAATTATCCTGATACTAAGACCAGAAAGAAAATTGTGAAACAATCTCAATCTATGGGAAAAGAGACAAGCAAACAAACAACAAACCAAACTACACCTAATACAAAATTTTCAATTTAATATTTTTTCTTACAATTAAAATAGGTAAGAATTTTACGCCTTTATTCAAGAGTCAATCTTTAGATTTCATTAATCCAAACCTCCTGCACTTGATATCTTATTGTTTTTAATGCACTGTTTATATATTTATTTTGTTAATGAACACATTTAACATTACTTTATTACTGTGAGCTCACCTTGCGCCATATCCCATTTGTTCACTATTACATACTCTACAGAGTAAAGAACTGATCTTCTTTCATCCCACTATTCAGAAAAGTGATTTTTAATTTCCAAGTGATTCAAGATTTTTATTAATACTTTAATAAATAGTTTTGAGTTTTATTAAGTTATGATTAGAGAATTTCATTTTATGAAGATTTTTTCCTGTGGCCTAATTATTGTAAATGTTCTATCAGTTGCTAAAACAGTATACTCTCTCCTCTTTTGACTCAGATCTTTAAATGGTCCTTATTGATAGCACATTCAGATTATGTCTACTTAATTATTTCTGTCCCCTTAACCTGTTAAATTGATTCTATTATTGGCCTCTACTCTTTACTCCTTGTGTGCCTTTTGTTGGGTGAGGCATAATTCCCACCCCTCAGCTTGGCCATGTGACTTGTCTTGGCCAATAAGCAAATGTGATGCAGAGACCTGACAAACATTTGCACAAATGAGCTTGGCCCCCCTGTTGAACTTCTGCCATTAGTATGAGAACATGACCAAGCCAACCTGCTAGAGGATAAGAATAGAAGTAGAGAGACACGGAGACACCTGAGTCATTTCAGTCTTCCCAAGAGAAGTCAGTCTAGATCAAATGATCTAAGTCAATCTCCAAACATGAATGAGCCTAGCTGACACCCCCCCACTTCCACATTGCATATTCACCACTGTGTACTCCAACTTATATACCTGTCAACAAATAAAACAAATGTTCTTGAAACTAATGGGTGGGTTTAATTTTGTTTTTATATCTCCATGTACTTTTAATAATTTTGACTTGACAATTTCAAATCTGTACATAAGCACTCCTAATTACTATATCAAATTCATGGTTAGTAATCGCTCATCAACTTTAAAAAAGAACTGCCTTCTGTTTCTCATTTTGTACCTTGAATTCTACTGTATTAAAATTGTAATCTCTGCTTTTTACTTACTTTGCATTTGCCTGATGCATAGTATACTAGCTGTTTAAAAATAGTTTTAAAAATTATACATGCTAATCATTAAAAAAAATTGACTGTACAAAGTATAAATGCTTTCCATTAAACAAACAAACAAATAAATGCTTTCTATTGCTGATGTTTCCAATAATCATTCATTTAAAGTTTTCACAATCACTTTGTGCTAGTTTCCAGCTACCAGTCTCCAACACAGTATCCAGTACATGGTGAATACTCAAAAAATATTTGCTGGATTAATAGGTAGGTGGGTGGATGGATGCTGAACAGTCAGAAACTATTTGTTGGATCAATAGTCAGTACATGCTGAACAGTCAGAAACTATTTGTTGGATCAATAGGTAGGTGGGTGGATGGATGACTTGTTGATTTAAGGTTACAAAACCAGTTCAATAATAAAGTAGGCTGAAGAAATGAAAAAAGAACTGATGAAATAGTGCAGAAGTGATATAGTGGTTGAAGAAGTAGAAAGAGAGAAAAATGTCATAGCTGCAAGGCTGTGTCACTGTATCACATAAATCTACTGCCTGGTTTCTGTAGCTTTATTTAGCCGATCACTTCATCCAAGTAACACAGTGGCCTTTTCTTTCTTGTTCTATTGTCCATAATAAAAAGACCCTTACCACTTCAGATACTTCTCAGCTGCTTTACTCTCCACTGGAATCTCTCAGACCAGCTGTCTATAAATGCTATTGCAATAAAATTGTGAAAGGGCCTTCAAGCAGATTGCTAGCTTTCACTTCATGGCACATCCTTTCCTAAACCTTGCCTCTTTCAAGTTAGAAGATGTCAGTAGGCCAAGATTTCCTCCTCTTATTTAGAATAAGACCTCAAAAGAAGGAATTCTTGGACAATACTTAGCATTTGCCCTTCATCTGTTCCAAAATATATGCATGGTACCAATTCATTTTGTATCAAAATCCAGTATGGACATGCATACGTGCATGTACTCATACAAAAATTAGAGGGAAAAAGCTCACCAAAGCAATTTTTAACCTCACTATGTGCAATGCGCTATTATTTTTCTATTCTACTGTGTTTGTTTTTAAGCTGGGTATTATCTATTATATTTCCATTACTGTTAATGGATCATGACCAGCATTTAAAAACTCCTGATTTGATTCATGATTTGAAGTAGAGAGAACATATTTGCAAAGAATAAAATATCTTTGATCAAGAACTTCTTGGACCTATAAATGCACCTATAAAAATGTTAACTACCTTTTAGCACAAAAATGCACTATAAAGACCTGAGAGTCCTATTCCATACACCATGGATGTGGTAAATTCAACCAAAAAAAACTTGGGTGGGGAAGGGAGATACAACCACACAATCACTGACTAAGAAAATTCATAAACATAAATGTTTAAAAATTACAATTAAGAAATAGGATATAAATGTGAAGGACTGATTTTGATGTGTTAGTATAACATTTAAATAAATATAATTATACAAGAGGTACAATATTATTTTATTCTTATACTTTCACCCTTAAAAGTTTTTTTACATTTCTCAAAATCAAAATCACTGCATGTATATGTACAATTACAAATTTTCTGAAACCAAAAAAATTTTATGTACAAATAGCCCCCTAGAATAACTACATGACAGAACAATACCTGCTTAAAAAAATTCGTCACTGTGAGAGTAGCAGGTCGAAAGCTGGTCAAGTTACAAGCATCATCTCCACTTGTTGTCCTTTCGAGGGATCGTCTGCCAACAATACTAGAATTCCTCCTCTCTGACCAAGACCCTTTTCGTTCTACCAAGGGGGGAAAAACAGTATGATATTCATTTTCATAATATTTAAAACTTGTTTCCAAGCAGCTTTCCAAACACAGGGAAAAAAATCATTAAAGTTGAAAACTATTCAGCATATTGACTGTAGTAAGAATTTCACTCCTGGAGGGGCGCCTGGACGGCACAGGCAGCTAAGCATCTGACTCTTGGTTTCAGCTCAGGTCATGATCTCAGACTTGTGAGACTGAGCCCCACGTCAGGCTCCGCACTCAGTGCAGAGTCTGCTTAAGACTGTCTCTCCCTCTCCCCCACGCTCACTCTCTCTCTCAAATAAATAACCTTAAAAAAAAAAAAAAAAGAATTTCATTTCCGGAGAGATCAGTAAGGAAGCACTATACCTAAATCACCCGGTTCTCTTTTTAAAATTTCTCTAGTGTAAAAAAAAGTCTCTACTACACTAAAATTATGCATAAAACCAAAGATGAGCTATGAAGAGCAGCTGCAGGGGAACTATGCATTTGCTAGGAAATATTCACACAATAAAAATTTTAGTAACCATAATAGTCCCTGACTTGAATTTGAATTCGAAACAGAATTTTAATTAAAAGTCCTTGCAAGATAACCCTATTAGCATTTGAATTTGAAACAGAATTTTAATTCCAAGACCTTGCAAGATAACCCTATTATTTAAAACCAACTGAAGATCTATGTTGCAGAGCAACAAAGAAACAGAAGACTTAAAACTATAAACAAACTAGACATAACAGATAGCTATAATACATATCAGCAAGCAAAAGTAGAATACATGCTCTTCTCAAGTGCACAAAGGACATTCTCCAAGGCAGACTGACCCATAAGACAAAAAATACAGTAAATTCAAAAGGACTGAAATTACATAAAATCTGTTCTCAAACAACAGTGAAATCAAACTATAAATCAGTAACAGAAGAATATTCGGGAAATTCATAAACATGTGGAAGTTAAACAGCAAACTCTCAAATAACCAGTGGTCGAAGAGGAAATAGCAAGGGAAATTAGGAAATTTAGTTAAAATGTATGAAAATGAAAACACAATATCCTAAGACACATGGGATGCAGTGCTCAGAGGAAAATTTTATCTATAAATGCCTATCCTAAAAAAAAAAGAAGAAGAAAGCTCTCAAATCAGTAACTTAACTTACATTTTAAGAAACTAGAAAAAGAGAAAACTAAAACCAAAGGAAGCATGAGAAAGGACTCAAAAATGACAACAGCTGAATGGCAATAAATGAAATAGAAACTAGAAACACATCAATGAAACCAAAAACTGGATCTTCAAAAAGAAAATTTTAAAAACATAAGCCAAATAGGTAATTAAAAAAATAGGAAAGGCTCAAATTACTAAAATCAGGAATGAATGAGGAGACATCACTACAGCTCTTAGAGAGAAAAAGGATTATATTACAATTTTATGAATAACTGTAAGTCAACAATTAGATAATTTACACAAAATGAACCAATTTCTAGAAAGAAACAGTACTGAAACTGATTTAAGGTGAAAAAAGAAAATATAGGGCGCCTGCGTGGCTCAGTTGGTTAAGCGACTGCCTTCGGCTCAGGTCGTGATCCTGGGGTCCCTGGATCAAGTCCCGCATCGGGCTCCCTGCTCAGCGGGGAGTCTGCTTCTCCCTCTGACCCTCCCCCCTCTCATGTGCTCTCTCTCATTCTCTCTCTCTC